ATTGTGGTAAACGAAATAATAATTTGATCTAAGTAAGTTTTTACCTTTTTGCTGATTTGTAAAAAGTCCTTACACGATAAAAAAAAATGAATATTATTTTTGAAATCTGCATAGCTGAATTATGGAAAATCTGTTATTAAAACCAAAACAACTTTTATGAAGTTTAAATTTGCAGGCCTGTGTAATTTATTGAGTGCAGGTATAAACCACATTAAGGGCCATCACTTTGTGTAATGTCAACAACTTGAATGCAGTGAACACCCTTAACAAGTGGCAACATTATTTCCATAACTACCTATTTTATTCTATCTTGGATACACCTACATCACATTTAACCAAGCTCTGCTCTAGATGACTTTCAATAATAATAAATTTTAATTACTTGTTTAAACAAAAGTGAGGAGTAATTACAGAACCATCTTATCTGTTTCTACCATGACTGACTTATTTTGTACCTTGAAAATAAGCTATATTTATCTTTAACATTGTTCAGAGTCTATCTTTCACAAAGTCTTATCTTCATTAATGTACTTTAAAGCTACTCTTGAAACTTGAGCTGTTTGTGTGCTTGACATTTGTAAGAAGCCATATATTTTTCTATATATAAGTACAAGATCTAATTGATAATAAGTACAAGGCCTAATGGGTAATATACACAAGCCCTTATACATAATAAATATAAAATATTGTAGACAGTAAATACAATCTAATCAAAAATATCTTGGGTGTGAAGAAAAGGTAAGGACAAAAAAGGATTGAGTTTGTGGCTTAATGGAATTGGTGGCCAAACTGGTAGCTACATTTATAGTATTGATAAGAATTTTACAGCAAATATTCATTCATTAATTATCCAGGCCACGCTATTTGTTCAACTTGAGGCATAATGGTGAGTTAAACAAAATATTTGATGATATGACTTTTTTGTCAATACACACCAGCAAGTGAGAAAGTGATACTCGATTGTAACCCACATTAACTTTAAGATTGCATCTCTATTACTGGAACAGACCTTTACTTTACAGAACCAACCAGATTTTTTAAAATATATGGTGGTAGTTTTTCCTCTCTAAAACACTGTTAACAGCCTTCTTTATAGTAACGCCATGGAATTTAGATTAACAGCTTCTTGTTATCACCCTCGTGCATTCAGTACAGCTGTATAAAGCATCATTATTTATGATAATTGCTTAAACTAATATCACTTAACACTAAATGTTTTTTAATTAGGATAATTGCATAAAATTTAGTAAATTTGTGCTGAAAAGTTGGCGATGAATAATGAATGATAACAATCCACCCATATGATTCTTTTGAAAACTTGAGCTAGAAACAAATAATGTAGTTTGCATGGCCTAACCAATACTTAAGTATCTGCATGTCCTTTCACCTTATAGTTTTGCTGCTCAAAGTCAGCTATCTTTAATCCAAATCATAAAAACTAAAAACGGTCCACTCTTACTCTTAGGTGAAGCTTTAGTGACTTTTTGTGTAGGTGTGCATGCAAATTTTTGCTGAATAACTTTGCACATGTGGCTTATATTTACAGCAAATGAGACTTCTAATTGTAAGTTGAAAAGATCTATCAGTGTATCAAATTTGAAAATAATTCATAAAAGATAATTATGTTTTCTATCAAATAAAGTTTTTGTACTTTTGGGGCGAAAAAAAAAGAAGGAAGAAACTCAATCAAAATTGGAGATGTTATATCTCAGATATTTCTTAATTGATTGCCTTGAAATTTGATATGTGAAGTTAGAGTCTAGTAGTGTATATTCACAGAAAATGTGTGGTAGTTTGGATTAACACAGTCTGAGCTACAGAAGGCAGAAAATCGCTAAACTAACTCCTGTTAATAACACAGTATGTCCTGCAGCAGGTTTTTTTGGCCACATAACACACTACCTTGTGTCTTTATATCTAATGATGATAAGCAAAAGATGTAATGGATGAAAAATAAAAGATTTTATGAATAAGATATTTTTAAGATGAAAGAAACGTAATAGTAAAGTTCTTATTGTAGGTTCCTGGTATGAAGAGATGATCAACAACAGGAACAAGAGTGTGGTCAGGGGGATGGCTTGGAATTCTGATGGTCAAAAAATCTGTATTGTGTATGAAGATGGTAAATATACATAGTTTTCACTGGAAATAATATAAGTAAAAAGAAACCTTCAGTCAATCTTTCACAGTAAATAATATAAGTAAAAAGAAACCTTTAATCAATCTTTCACAGTAAATAATATAAGTAAAAACAAACCTTCAGTCAATCTTTCACAGTAAATAATACAAGTAAAAAGAAACCTTCAGTCAGTCTTTCACAGTAAATAATATAAGTAAAAACAAACCTTCAGTCAGTCTTTCACAGTAAATAATATAAGTAAAAAGAAACCTTCAATCAATCTTTCACAGTAAATAATATAAGTAAAAAGAAACCTTCAGTCAGTCTTTCACAGTAAATAATATAAGTAAAAACAAACCTTCAGTCAATCTTTCACAGTAAATAATATTCATTAAAATATACCTTCAGTAACTCTTTCACAGTAAATAATATAAGTAAAAACAAAACCTTCAGTCAGATAAGGATAAAGTTTAATATCCTTACCATTACTTTTACATAAATCAACCTGTATACATACTTTTACTGTACAAAAACACATATACACACATCCATGTTATCACAGGTAAAGAATGTCCGTTCCAAGTGTTGATATTAGTGAAGTATTACACATTTTAGTTGGAATTAATTCTCAAAGTTCAGGTATAGGATGCTCTTTTCACTTTTTGAGGAATAAGTTTTTGTTGAATATAACAAGTGATTTAGTAGAACAGTTTTTAATAATGTCAGTTCTATAAAATGCTATGATGGGGGAGGAAAGGTTGTCCTATAAGGGAAACTGTATAGTGTATGCACATCTAAATGAAAGCTAGACGTGAAAGGGGATTAAATGATGTTTCAGAGATTGTGGTAAACTAACAGTGGAGTTAAGCCTAAAAACATAAAAATGTATCTCAAGTTTTTAGTTTGTATTTTCGTGGAATGGCGGATTTATCAGTTATATTGGAGAGTTGTCCTGACAGGACAGTACTCCTAGATGGGTAAGTAGGTGGAAAGCTAACCATTTTGAATGAAAATCTGAAATTCAAGTTTCATGTAATAGATTTTTAAACCTGTGCTAGAAAAGGCCTTATATTCCAAAGATTTTTATTATTTAAATTACTGGTTAGAAACTTTTAATTCTGAATCTGCTAATAACATGACTTAACATTCCTCAGGTGCTGTGATTGTTGGCTCTGTGGATGGAAACCGTATATGGGGGAAGGAATTGAAAGGAATACACTTGACTTCTGTAGAGGTATGGTAAAGAGAGATGTGGCTGTTAGGCTCAAATAAAAAAATAATATTTCTACCATTTTGAAATAAACTAATAGTGGATTACTAGAAAGCTGTTGAAGAGTGTTCTGACTTTCTCAAGTATTTTAATGATTTTTTTTTTACATTCATAAGAATGTTTCTTATAGATTAGTAAACATTGTGGGAAAGAGCATGTTATTTAATTTTCATTTTTAAAATCATAACATCTGTCCTTTTCATTAGTTAAACAGTAGTCGTGGAATACTGTTATTACATCTGATATAATTATTTGTTATGTTGTTGTTTTCTTCAGTGGTCACCAGATGGAAAGTTTCTTTTGTTTGGAATGCAGAATGGAGAAATTCATGTTTATGAACATAATGGAAACTTTGTGGTAAGATTCATGTTTATCAACATAATGGAAACTTTGTGGTAAATTT